GCTCAAGCAGGAAACCCTTCACCACTTCAGACAAATGGTTATCCAATCTCTTCTTAAAAAACCTCCAGGGTTGGAGCATTCACAACTTCTGGAGGCAGGTTGTTCCACTGATTAATTGTTTTGACTGTCAGGAAGTTTCTCCTTAGTTCTAAGTTGCTTCTCTCCTTGATTAGTTTCCACCCATTGCTTCTTGTTCTACCCTCAGGTGCCTTGGAGAATACCTTGACTCCCTCTTCTTTGTGGCAGCCCCTGAGATATTGGAAGACTGCTATCATGTCTCCCCTAGTCCTTCTTTTCATCGAACTAGACATCTCCAGTTCCTGCATATGTTTTAGCCTCCAGTCCCCTCATCATCTTTGTTGTTCTTCTCTGCACTTTTTCTAGAGTCTTAAATTCTTTCTAGAGTTCTTTAATTCTCCCCAGAGAAGAATTGTCTCTCTTTCTGCATCGGCTGCAATCCGTGTGGCTGCAATGGATGTGGCCCTGCAAAGCGAGAGCTGTGTGGCCTCTTTTCCTTCATGGAAATCACCTTCAGCTCAGGGACACCCGAGAAGGAGGGCAGACCAAGCCAGCCCTACAGAATACCCAGCTGCTCTCAAGCACAGGCAGACACTGAAGCCAGAGGTACAAGGGGAGAAAAATCACTTGGACCATTCAACCAGAGGTGCGTTTCCTAGCGCATAATTCGGAAGTAGTGGCAGGGAATCCTCGTTACGGTCACCATTTGGAGCCGAATTTCCATGCTTTAAGAAGCAAGGAAGTGGTTAAGTGGGATCTCTCTCTCTCTCTCTCTTTTGCCTTTAATTAAGCCAATCACTGCCGTTGTTAAGTGAATTCCATGGCTGCAGGAGGGAGAGAGGATTTAAGCGTCTGAACAGCGCAGGGCTTGTAATGATGGACCAAAAAGACTTAGGGGTGACTCTCCTCTTAGCCCACCCTACTTCAAGGGCATTGACCTTAAGCAGACCCCCATTCGAATTCCAAGGAGAAAGTGAGCTCTGTGCCCAGTAAAGAAAAGCCAGGGTTGGGATAAACCAGGAATTCACAGAAAAACAACCTCTTCTTTTCCAATTATTCACTTTGCTTTCCACCTCCCTTCTCAAACCTTTTTGGGCTGAGCTAAGAAGGGACCAAAGGGACAAAAATCCAATGAAACCCCCTTCCCCCTTTCTGGATTTTATTATAGATTCTAGCTGTTATTTATGATTTTATACTAGAACTTTTAATCTTATATTTACTGAGTGTTTTTTATTTGTTCTGGTCTCCGACTGTAATCAATCGATTGAGTGATTGATTGATTGATTTTTCTTTTCTTCCCTGTCCACAAAACACTACAGAAGGCAGCCCCATCTCAGGCTTCCTCTAGGCAGGACACCCGAGACCCCCCAAAATGAAAACACCCCGCAAAATAAAGAATCAGAGACCACTGAAGAGGCTGTGACAACGTCCTTGCAATTCTTGTGTGTGTCTGTGTGCCCCCCAAAGAGAGAAACCTTTCCACCTGCCGAGCTTCTAAAAAATGCATTAAAAAGTAACACACATCCCCACCACCACCCACCCACAGTCAACCCTTGTGCCTCTCCCTACCCATCCAGGGATAGACAGCTGCAGGACATAGAGGCTTTCTCTCCCTATCATGCATCCTAGTAGTGATATTTGAAGGAGGGTTGGGCCACATTTCAGACCTTTAAGAGCCCCTCCCCAACATACCCCCCTTCTCCTCTGAGTTGCCCAAAGCAAAACGATTCCCACCCCCCTCCTTCCCCGACACCGCCTTGGCCATTTCCCCAACCGCCCACTTGGGCTGGCCTTAAACTGGCCAGCCTCCTCATGGCCTCTGGGCCAGGGATTAATTCTAGCCCAGTCTCCACCACTACAAAGAGCTTTGTGCTACAGGCAAAAATCAATCCTCTCCTCCAAGGCCCTCCCCTGCTCCCGAACGTACCCACGGGGCACACGCAGGCAAATTCGTTGATCTTGTCCACGCAGTTCCCGTTGTGGAGGCAGGGGCTGCTGGCACATTCGTCTGTGTTGATTTCACAGTAGACCCCCTCGTAACCTGCAGAGAGGAAAAACAGTGGTGAACGGGGGTGGGGGTAAGAGGGGTCTCTTCTCTCCTTGGAAAAAATGGTTGCTGTTGTTGCAATTGTGACCTGCCCAGGGTTGCTTGAGATGGGCGGTTGTGAAAATCTTATACATGAACAAACAGACAATTCAGTCTTAAACTTAAAATAAGGGGGGTGGGGGAGCCCCAAAGAAGAAGGAGTCAAACTATTCTCCAAAGCACCCGAGGGAAGGAAAAGAAGCAATGGGTGGAAACTAATCAAGGAGAGAAGCAACTTAGAACTGAGGAGAAATTTCCTGACAGTGTGGACAATTCACCAGTGGAACAGCTTGCCACCAGAAGTTGAGGGTGCTCCACCACTGGATGTTTTTAAGAAGAGATTGGATAAATGTTTGTCTGAAATGCTATAGGGCAGAGATGGCGAAGCTTTTTCTAAAGGCGTACCCACACCCAGAATTCAATGCACCCCACCCACCTACGCACGCGGGGGGAGTCGTGCACATATGCACGGGGGGGGGGGAGTTTTCAGCCTCCCCAGGCTGCAGAGGCTTTCCTGAAGCCTGGGGAGGGCGAAAACAGCCTCCCCCGGCCCTCCAGAAGGCCAAAATACAGCTGGTCGGCGGCCACATGCATGCGGGAGCTGATGGCTGCGTGCTGGCAAATAAGGCTCCACATGCCACCTGTGGCACCCATGCCATAGATTCTCCATCACGGCTGTAGGGTTTCCTGCCTAAGCAGGGGGTTGGACTTCTCTCCAAGATCCCTTCCAACTCTTCTATCCTATCCTATCCTATCCTATCCTATCCTATCCTATCCTATCCTATCCTATCCTATCCTATCCTATCCTATCCTATCCCCATTCACTTGGTGGCTTTATGAAACAAGCCCTGCTGTGGTTAAACTCATGTCACACCCAGGACTGCCAAGGCGAAATCTTGTGGTGTGCCCTCTCTCTTCGCCAGCCCACTGTTTTCAGCTGCTTTCCTTGGCCAGCCCAGTGCCAATCTTACGGGCACGCAGGACCTCCAATTTCTCTCAGGCTCCCCGAGTGAAGTTTAAAGTCCTCCGATCTGGGGTCAGCCTTGCCAGCTCAGCCGCTTAATGCCCAAGGCTCTTGCCAAGGAATCAATTCGGGCCTTTGTAAAGCAGGCTCTGGCAGTGGGGAGGGGGCATGGGAGGGGGGGCAAGAAGGGAGAAAGGAGGAAGAACTTGGAAAAACAGGGCAGAGCACAAGATTCTCAGCTCCCTCTCCCCCTCCACCCTCCAGCCGACTTCAGCCAGGGACGCTGCCAGTTAAAGACCTACAGAGCAGACTTGGTGCTAAAATCGGTTGGTTTGTTTTTCAAAACAAAATCCAGCTTGGCGTTTTTATGGCTGTGGTGCAAATCCAGTTTGTTGGGTTCGTTTATTCATCTGCGGCTGTGGGCGAAGTCAGCTACCGCGTTCCTTGGAATTCAACCCAGCTGCTGACTTCTGTGGTTGCAGGAAGCAGCCTGTGAAGGCATCACCTGCTTCATTTCATTGGGCTTGGCGTGGGGTACCAACGCAGCAGCTCCATTTGGTTAACACTGGTTTTTAATTCAGGGATGACTATGAGTTGCTTTGGCCCTGGTTCACCCCAGCACTGCTCCAGCCCCTACCCAGGCTTGAGTGGAGCAGTGCCGTTTCCCTTGCAAGGGGCCTGGATTGGATAGCACCTCGAAAGATACCAATAGCACCTAGACTTATATACCGCTTCACAGTGCTTTTACAGCCCTCTCTAAGCAGTTTGCAGAGTCAGCCTTTTGCCCCCAACAATCTGGGTCCTCATTTGACCCACCTTGGAAGGACGGGAGGCTGACTCAACCTTGAGCCAGTCAGGATCGAACTCATGGCAGTGAGCAGAACAAGGCTGCAATACTGCATTCCAACCATTGTGACACCACAGCCTTCCTTCCCATTCCCATCTTCCTTCCTTCCTTTTTATTCCCATCTTCCTTTCTTCTTTCATTTTCATTCGCATCTTCCTTCCTTCCTTCCTTCCTTCCTTCCTTCCTTCCTTCCTTCCTTCCTTCCTTCCTTCCTTCCTTATAGCACTTAAACTTATATACCACTTCACAGTGCCTTCCAGCCCTCTCTAAGCGGTTTATAGAGTCAGCCTCTTGCTGACCTGGCTCCTCATTTTTCCCACCTCGGAAGGACGAAAGGCTGAGTCACCTTGAGCCTGGTCAGATTCAAACTCCAAATTGCAAGCAGTAGCAGAAGTAGCCTGCAGTACTGCACTCTGACCACTGCACCACCGTGGAGCTGTTACAAAACCAAGCCAAGCACTAAAGGAGTTAAGGCCACCACCTCCTCCTTCAGGCTCCGAGAGCCGCCCATCCGAGGGGCCCAGAAGGCCGGGGCCGCCGGCAGAGTTACCTGGCATGCAAATGCACTGGAAGACCCCAATCTGGTCCAAGCAGGTGGCATCGTTCTGGCAGGGGTTGGAGGAGCATTCGTTGACGTCTATCTCGCAGCGGGGACCCGAGTAGCCCATCTGGCACTGGCACTGGAAGGAGCCCTCCGTGTTGAGGCATTTCCCGCCATGCTCGCAGGGGTTGGCACCTGGCAAGGAGGGAAGGAGAAGGATTAGGCACCGAAGGGGGAGGGGATGTGGGAATGGCCAAGAGGGCCACCAGGGGTCCTTCTCCGAGTCTTCCTCTTGTCCTTGCTTTGTCCCTCCCCAATTCCAAAGCAGTCCTTCTGTCCAGCTGCTTGGCCAACCAGCATTGCACCCAAAAAAAGCCAAGAGAATTCCCCCAGCCTCCCACCCACCCCGATCGGGACTTTCGAAAGTCAAAGACACTCATGGAAGCTACGGGGTAGTCCTCGTCTTGCGACCGCAAACTGGGCCCAAAATTTCTGTGGCCAAGTGAGAGGTTAGTTCAGCGAGTTTTGCCCCCTTTAACTTGCCACCGTTGTTAAGTGAATCACTGTGGCGTTTACGTTTGTTACACTGTTGTTCAGTGAATCTGGCTCTCCCCCCCCCCCCGGTCATCCCCCTGTCCTTTGCATGGGAGAAGGTTGTAAAAGGAGAATCACGTGACCCCAGGATGCTACAACCGTCGTAAGTGTGAGTCAGTTGTGCCAAGTGTTGGAATTCTGATCATGTGACCCTGGGAATGCTTGTTAAACTTGTTAAGTTGAGGATTACCTGCATTTGGGGGGGGGCGCACTGGCTTTGATATGGGGGCCAAACAAAAGCCCCATCTTTGGCAGCTGCGACCCTTTCCTCCTCCTCTCCCTTGTAAATAGCAACCCCACCCCCACCCCAATCCTGACCAGTCAAGGGGCAGAGGACTCCTGCTGGCATGTTGGATATGGCTAAATCTAAATTAGATGTAAATAGATCTAAATTAGATCTAAATAGATCTAAAATAGATCTAAATTACATCTAAAATAGATCTAGATAGATATCCTTCCCCCGAAGGAGCCAATACTGACCCCCACCCAAGCTTCAATGGAGCTACATCCAAGGAATAGATGGTAATATTAGCTGTACTGCCATTAGTTAAAGTGGTATTTATCTATCTTTATATAATAAAATGTTTGTAAACCTCACAAAGGACCAGATGAGCTGATGAATTTGGAGCCAAATTGACAGGGTCTGGATCCAGAGGCTCCTCCCACCACCAAGATGGGGTGGCAAATGAATTTAATCATCCGCCCCATCATCCTCCGTGGGGTGGAGTCGAGGCAACTGAATGGAGGTAGCAGGGCATTTGCTGGCCAGATGCCCTTCCGGTCGCCAATGCGGAGTTTTATTTAGCAGATATATTCTCAGAGAAATATCTGCCTCTACCTAGGATCGAACCCACAGCCTCCGGATTGTGAGGCGAGAGCTCCATCTCTAACTCTAACCTCCGCACTCTGGCAAATGAATTTAATAATATAAAAAAATTCGCAGGTCGGCTTTTCTGGGCCCCGAACCTCCCCGTGTCCCATTCCAAGGGACGGCCTGCCTCCTAAGGTCGGTTTTCTGTTCCAGTTCCTCCCCAGACTTTTCTTCAATCCCAGCCAGCTCCCACCCAGTGCCCCCGGTGCCCCCTTACCCAGCAAGCACTCGTCCACGTCCTTGTTGCAGGCAGGCCCCATGTACCCTGAGGGGCAGTTGCAAATAGCCCTCCCTGTCACAGGGTTGGTGTCGCAGTTGGAGCCTTCGTTGCAAGGGTTGCTGATGCAGGCATCCTCCAGGTGGCACAGCAAGCCTGCAAGAGGGCAGAGGGCAGACTCAGAAAGACACGCACACACTCACAAGATTCTCCCCCATCCATCCCACCAACAGGCAGTCAATGGCCCTCCTGACACAATGGAGGCAACCTGCTTACTGAATTGCTCGCTTGCATGCTAGTGTTGTGGCCTGCCAGCGGCCAGCAGGGCTGGTGACCGACTCAGACAGTGAAGAGGTTGGGGAGGAACCTGGGCCAGTCCTGGAGTCTGGGGAAGACTCTGAGGAGGGCTCTGCATGGGAGGCAATTATCAGCTGCCTTCAGGGTCAGACATCAGTGGGGCAGAAGAACAGCTGGAGCCTATTTCCAGTGTGCGCATGCACAGAGCTGCCAGGGGAAGAGAACAGCTAAGGAACAAGGGCCGACTCGGGAGTAAAGACACAGGGGGACAGTGAATGGCCCCTCTCAGAGGGATTAAAAGAGGAGCGAAAAGGAAGGGGAGTTTGCAGGAGACCATGAGTTCAATTCATTAGGGTGAAAATCTGTTCCTGACTTCTAGCCAAGGAATTGCTGCTACAGCGTGGAGTTTGGAAGATATCGGCCTGGCAGCTCTCCAAGGTCTGTAGTTGTGACATTTCTTTGACAGGGGCTTTGCTGGAGAGGAATTCCCTTTAACCTAAATAAAAGAGGTTTTATCAGGACGAGGAGTCGGCTTCGTGCTCTTGGGAGGCCTAGGTCAGAAAAGCTACGTACTGAACCGTATCCTAGCCAAACTGTCTGGGCGTAATTTACTGGCAAAGCCAGGAAAAAAATACATAGCAAGATAGGGCTAACTGAGAGCCAGTTTGGTGTTGTGGTTAAGTCACCAGGCTAGAAAAACAGGAGATGGTGAGTTCTACTCCTTTCTTAGGCCACAAACCCAGCTGGGTTACCTTGGGCCAGTCGTGCTCACCCAGCCCCTAGGAAGGAAGCAATGGCAAATGACTTTCTGGAAAAGAAATCTTCTTGAGAAAACTGTAGGGAGTCCAGACAGCCTCCAAAAATAGGACAGTGGACCAACATCTGGAGACTTCTGAAAACGCAGGGACTAGTCATTCTCTTGTTTTCACTTTTTTTTTCCTTTTTATGATCCTGTAACCCCTTTAATCAGGATGGAGTCAGGGGCGACTGAATGGAGCTGAGAGTTTACTGGCCGGATGCCCTCCCTGACACCTAGGCAGAGTTCACAGCAAATATTTTATCTTTGCATTGTGATAGAGAAACATATGTCACTGCCTAGGATGGAATGCTCAGCCTCCCAAGTCTGAGGCAAGCGTCTTCACCTCTAAGGCCACCACACTACTACCTCTTGTTGTTCCATAACCTCTGCACATATATTGGGACTACAACTCTGTCAGTGTGTATGAGAGTTCATGACTTGGCAGAGACATGGTAACAAGGTCAGCCAATGAATAGACGTGGCAACTGAGTCAGCCAATGAGGGCTGTTTAGAAACTGAAACAGTATTTGCTACGTGAGCAACAAGGAGACTGCAAGGAGCCTGGGCGTGGCTTATCTTCGGTACTAAAGCTCTGAGTCTGTGCTGAGCTCAAAAACTAGTCTGCTGCTCTGAACTGAAACTGTTCTCTCCTCTGCTTGTGTTTTCTTGTATTTGCTACCACATTGGAAAAATCTGTTTGGTTATTGTACATTTACTTCATGTGTTATATTATATATAAAGAGAAGTTAGAGAATCCTGCTGAATCAGTTACCTGTGTGTGCTTTCTGGATGTGATGGCTGCAACAAACTCTTGACAAACTCCCAGAATTCCTAGCGGGTTCCTGTAATCTTAGCCCAGTTCCTGCAACCCTTCTTCCTCTGCCCCCCCCCCCCCGATACGCACCTGTGCGACCATGTGGGCACTCGCAGTAGAAAGAGGCCACCCGGTCATGGCAAGTGGCCCCTGGAGAGCAGGCGGCACTGGCACAGTCGTCGATGTTCTCGCTGCAGTCCTCCCCCGTCCAACCATTCACACAGACACAGTTGTAGGCCCCTTGGGTGTTGTAGCAGGTGCCACCATTCTGACAAGCGTTGGGAATCAACTGGCATTCGTCCACGTCTTCGGCACAGTACTGGCCTAGAGGAGAAAGGAGGGGGTTGACCCAAGTTCTTCACAGGGGGAGGGGGGGAGACCCCCTAAGTGGTCCAGATGAAAATCTGTATGGCCCTCCCAGGAGAAGGGCAGGAAGGGCTAGACGCGTAGTCCTCCACTTACAACAGATTGTTTGCGCTGGGAAAAGTGACTTATGACCGTTTCCCACAGTTACGACTTAATCTCAACTTTCCAGAACAGTCCCTACCGAATCGCCTGAGCATTTTCTTGTAATATCCCAGGATCAGAAAATGATGGATGGGGAAGGGATGAATGAATCAGAAGGAGAACTGATTCTCTCCTAATTTTAGAAACAACAAAATATGTTTTCAACCAGCGGTGTCAAACTTGATTTCATTGAGGCCTGCATCAGGGTTGTGTTTGACTTTCCTCCCTTTGGGGGCTCTCAGATTCCGCCCCCCCCCAATTGGTGTGTCCTCACCTGTCCATTCAGGTGGGCACTGGCAGTTGTAGGTGTTCACCCCATCCACACAGGTGCCTCCATTCCTGCAGTTGTGCCCAGGACAATCGTCCAGATTCTCTTCGCAGTTCTGGCCTGTGAAACCTGCCGGTGGAGAAGGAGCAAAAAGGTCAGGTGAGACCCATTCTCAGCCCCCACCCCCACCCCCCCCGGGAGAAGAAAGGAAAACCCCAGGGTCACAAACCCAGTTTTTTTTGCAGAAGAACCAAGGTTTAATTTCCAGCCTCCCCAGGAAGGGTAGTAAAAGGTTCTTCTTTAGGAGCTGCTGCCAGTCAAGGCAAAGAACGTAGAAATAAATGGGGAAACTTGAATCAATAAAAAACACTGAATTGCATCTTTTTATTTAGTGGGGTTTTCTTATGGAAGAGACCTGCCACTATGTTCAGAATCAGAATAGAGCTGGAAGGGACCTTGGAGGTCTTCTAGTCCAGCCCCCTGCTCGAGCAGGAGATCCTATACCATCTCAGACAAATGACTGTCCAGTCTCCTTAAAAACCTCCTGTGATGAAGCACCCACAATGTCTGAAGACAACTTATTCCACTGATTAATTGTCCTCACTGTTAGGTGTCTCCTTAATTCCAGGTTGCTTCTCTTATTGTTTAATTTCCATCCATTGTTTCTTGTCCAGCCTTCTGATGCTTTGGAAAATAAGTTGGCCCCCCTCTTCCTGCAACTGTCCATCTCAGTTGCTCTTCTCTGCACTTTTTCCAAAGTCTCAACGTCTTTTGTTTATAATGTGGTGACCAAAACTGGATGCAGTATTGCAGGTGTGGCCTCACTAAGGGCTTTATAAAGCGGCACTAATACTTCATGTGATCTTCTATATTATTCTGCCTTTTGCCTTCCTGATTTCCCAGTCTAGCCTGCAGCTTTGGGATTTCCTTTCTATTTCTTTGTCATTCCAAGTTACCACTTTTCTTCATTAAATAGTAATTCTATATTTTTTTTTGGCTCCTTTTTCCTTCAAGAATTTCAAGCAAGGCAAGGAAAACCATAGTGCAAAATTAAAACTGCAAGATTTGGCAAGATTATTAACATGTAAATGCCTGGGAATTACACAACATCCAGAAGGGGGACCCACAACTCAGTCCTTAAGCGAAACAGAGGAACTGCTGCTGTGCTTTACTTTTCACTCCCTGTTGTTACTGAGAATGGGTGCTGAAACAGGCAGTCGTTAAACGAGGACAACTTCGATTTCAGCACCACCTGACTCTGGATTTCCTAGTGGTCCTCTGTCCTCTTACTAACTCAGTGCTAATTTAGCTGGACAAATGCATGTTTCGCTCCTGCTGTTTTGGGCTAGTTAATAGTCAGGGATGGAGCAGTTTTGCTTCCTGTGCTCCTGTCCAAGAAAAATGTTTTTTTCTAGGATTCACTGGTATGCAAACTAGCCGAAACTGGGCAAAAACTGGCCCATGAGCTTCACAGCCCTCCTGCCATCAAGAAACGCCTCCCCCAGGGAAGAGGGGAGATAATAGAAAAGAAAATACTAGTATATAGGTATATATTCAAAAGTAAGATACAAAGGGGCGGGGGGGACATAATCAGGATAGATTTGAGAAGGAAAGGGAACAAGAAATGATACCCAGCTATTTTTGGGTTTCCGGAAATACCACCCCAAGAAAATAAAAATTAAGAGCTGGAAGAGACGCCTACGACAATAGAAACGGAAAGGAAGAGAGAAGAGGAGATGAGAGGAAGAGGAGGGAAGGAAGATAGAGGTAAGGAGAGGAAGATGGAAAGGAGAGAGAGAGAGAAGGAGAGAGGGCAGGAAGGGGAAGAAAGGAGTAGGGGAGAGGTAAGGGAAGAAAGAAGGGAAAGGAGGAAGGAAGGAAGTAGAGAAGGGAGGGAGAAAAGAAAGTGGTGTCAAAACAGGCGAGGGATGGTAAATAAAGCAACCCAAATGGTATATTATAACATTGTAAATGGAATGATAAATGTATAAGAGTGAGGATTGTAAAAAAGAATAACAACTATGCGAATGTATACCTATAATTGTACGTAAGAGAATAAAAAACTTTTCTGGGGGGAAAAAAGACCCCCTCCACACACACACATTCCCTGCCCTGCAGAAAACAGCCTGCATCTGGCCCAGCATCCTCTCCCCAAAGACAGGAAGTCCCGAAAGGAAAAATCCAACATAGGAGAGATAACTCATCAACCAGGAATAGCGAGGTAAATAATCCAGCCTCCTTCGGACTGGGGCCTTCTGAGATGTTTGCCATTGTAGATCCCGACGTTTCCAGCCAGTATTGAGTTGAGAATCGAACCGCTGCAAGGCCAGCTGTTTTAAGGTCAGACATTCTCCCAATCTTGGCTTTGGACTTCAGCTCCCAGAATTCCCTAGCCAGCATGTGGACTGTGGAATCCTGGGAGTTGAAGTCCACAGCTTTTAAATTTCCCAGGTTAAAAAAAAAAGCTAGTTTAGGTACTTATGAAAGGGAAAACTGACACACACCCCCACTTCAGGGGTCTCCAACCTTGGCAACTTTAAGCCAACTTTAAGTCTGACTTCAACTCCCAGAATTCCCCAGCCAGCTTTGTTCATTCATTATTATGTTGTCGTGGTTGTCATTATTCCCCAGTTGCGCTAATCACCGTCATGGCTAATGTTGGCTGATTTACTTCTCTTATATATTTGATCCATCATCATCGTCATGTCCCCGGCAAGGGAAAAAGTTTCTCTGCATCAGAACGTGGAGATCGGTCTGGGGTGGTCCAGCCATTGCCCCCCACCCCTTCCCGAGCCAGATGCCAGGAACACAGCCATGGCTATTTTCATTTCCTTATATGGTTCTTCCATAGATCGCTTGCTAAGGGTTGTTTAAATATCTCAGCATCCTGCAGAAAACCGATGGCAGAGGAGCCAGGAATGCAAATGGGGGCATTGTAGGAAAAAAGGGGAGGGGTGTGAAACAGTGAAGTAATCCGGGCTGGGTCAGGCTGCTAGGCGAGGGCAAGGGGCACTCAAAATAAAAGAAGTTGGCAGAAAACTTGTGAGGTTGCCAAATCTCTCCCACAAGAGCACTGGAATCACGCCAGACAAGTTGTTGGCTATTTCCAACCATGCGCTTTACACGTGGCTTCCACAGATGCCCTCCGTATCGCTCCCGAGTCTGGCAGGAGCTTCATCCCTGGAAGCTTTCAAGAAGAGACTGGACTGCCAGAAATGGTGTAGGAACTCCTGCTTGGGCGGGGGGTTGGACTAGATGACCTACAAGGTCCCTTCCAACTCTGTTATTCTGTTATTATTCTGTTATTCAGAAGTTGTGGGAGTTTCGTCACTGGAGGCTTTCAAGAGGAGACTGGACGGCTGCCCTCTGTCAGAAATGATGTAGGGCCGTGATGGTGAACCTGTGGCACACATGGCACAGAGCCATGCGCAGCCATATTTGCTGACATGCCAGCAGTCAGCTCTGGTGTGCATGTGCACACTGGCGAGCTGATTTTCGGCCTCTTGGAGGCCGTTTTCACCCTCCCCAGGCTTCAGCAAAGCCTCCGGAGGCTGGGGAGGCTGAAAAGCAGGCCCAACGGCTGGCCCCTCCCCTCCCCCTCCTAGTCACTTCTTGCCTGAGAAGGCAGGGGAACAAACTTCTGGTTGGCCCATTGGGTCTGTTTTTCGCCCTCCCTAGCTTCTGGAGTCTTTCCTGAAGCCTGGGGAGGGTGAAAAATGTCCCCAACAGGCCAACTGGAAGTTCAGAAAAGATCCGTTTCTGGCTTCCGGAGGAAGCCGTTTTTGCCCTCTGCAGATTTCAGTAAAGTCTCTGGAGCCTGGAGAGGGGTCGTGCACACATGGGGGGAGGGGGGGTCACGCATGCATACGCAGGTGGGTTGGGAGGACTGAATTGATGTGGGCACGCGTGCGCGCACAATTTTGGCATGCCATAAGAAAAAGGTTTGCCATCACTGCTGTAGGATCTCCTGCTTGGGCAGGAGGGTTGGACTAGATGACCTACAAGGTCCCTTCTGTTGGTCTGTAAGTTAAGGGGTGTGTGTGTGTGTGTGTGAGAGAGAGAGAGAGAGAGAGAGAGAGAGAGAGAGAGACATAGTGTGTGTGTGTGAGAGAGAGAGAGAGAGAGCGCCAAGGCACAACAGCCTACCTGCAAGGCAGGTGCACTCGTAGGCCACGTCTCCGGTCTGCTGGCAGGTGCCCCCATTTTGGCAAGGGGAGGGGTTGCAGGGGACGTAGCGGTCATCGCAATTGGGCCCGGTGAAGGCCGGCCGGCAGTGGCACTGGTAGGAGCCAATCTCGTTGATGCAGGTGCCGCCATTCTTGCAGATGGGGAATGTCCGGCTGCACTCGTTCAAGTCTTCCTTGCAAGTCGCCCCGTGGAAGCCCTGGGGACACCTGCACACATAGCTGGACTCAAAGGGCACGCACTGCCCGCCGTTGGCACAGGGGTTGGAGGCACAGGGGTCGGCCTGCTGGCACGTCTTGCCTGCAGACCAAAGAGAGAGGCACTTTGCTTCAGCCAAAAATTCAGGAATGGTGAAGGACCCACATATAGGACCTGAAAACCTTTCATTTTTCAGTCCTAATCTTTTAAATGTTTTTATAAAGTGTTGCAAATACCTGTGTTCCATTTTCATCGGCTTTTTCAAAAATACACATTTCTTTTGCTGCCTGGTTCTATTTCTTCTACTTTACAATTTTTTTAAAAAGTTATTTTATTTTATTTTTTTACAAACATATCAATGCGTGAATAGTGTGGCACCTGGATATCATACATTCTAATGCAAACAAAACTAATAGCATTAGTGATAGTTATTACTTTCAACCAACTTATATATTTCTAATAATAATACATATTTATATAAAGTTGCAATCTGTCATTATTCAATTATTCCATGTTTTCGCTTATTGTTGCTCTGATTTAATTATATAAAAGTGTATACACTTTTCTCTTATTTCTGTCTCTTATTCTAACTTTTAATCATGTCATCCTTTGTTACAAAACATTTTCTTTCTATCCTATCTAACTTCTAATCATGTCACCTACCTACAAAAAAAGAAAAAAAGATGAAGAGTGTGAAGTAGAGAGGTAAGGGAAGAAGAGAGGGATAGGAGAGAGGGGGCGGGGGAAGAGGAGGAGAGATAGGAGGAGTGGAAAGGGGTGACAGGAGAAGGAGAGAGGAGGGGGAGGTAGAGAAGAGAAGGACAATAGAGGGAAGAAAGGAGAGAGGAAGGGGAGATAGAGAATAGAAGAAAGAAAGGAGATAGGGAGGGGGAGGAGTGAGGGAGAAGAAAATGATGGATAAGCTACAAATATGCTGTATTGAGAGCAGAAGAGCCAATAATTGTTTTTGGGAGTTGATGGTAAGATGAATTAATGCAAACATTTAATAATACAATACGATGTTGGTTATGTAATGTGGTAACATGTGGTTATATGTTATGAAAATAAAAAAATAAAAAACTATACAAAAGAAAAAAGAAAGGAGAGAGAGAGGAAAAGCAAAGCAAAGCAAAACAACACCAAAAATGTGAAATCATCTATCCATCATCTCTTGCCCACTTCAATACTTTAATTGCTACTTTAGAATTTTTTTGTATATGTAAACTATAGGGACACCTTGATCCAAGAATTAAATGTTTTAAACCAGGATAGTGTCTGTCCCTGTGCTGGAAACGTGGTCTAGGGAGCCTCCATCCTTCTCTTCCATGGTGGGCAGAACCAGTTAAGTCAGCATTTCTCAAACTTGGGCAACTTTGAAGATGTGGGCACTTCAATTCCCAGAATCCTCCAGTCACCCTTGCTAGGTGGAGAGTTCTGGGAACTGAATGCACACATCTTAAAAATTGCCAAGTTTAAGAAACACTGATCAAGAGTACAAAAGATGGAGAGAAACCTCTGAAAAATGGAAAATAAATGGCGTAGGCACCCCCTGGTTCCAGCTGTCACGAGGAAGACCGAAAAAAATGAAACCTCTTTCTTACATTATTGAAGTCCAGCAATCCCAACAAGGACAGATCAAAACACACAAGGCTGGGCTCGGTTCTGCAGCTGAGAAGTGCAGAACTTGGCAAGGAGTCTCAGAGAGTCATGAGCCAATGAAGCGAACTAATGGTCTCCTGCAAACTCCACTCCCCTTTCGCTCCTCTTTTATTCCCTCTGGGAGGGGCCATTCACCGTCCACCTGTGGCCTTACTCCCAAGTCAACCCTTGTTCCTTATCTGTTCCCTTCTCCTGGCATGCACACACTGGGAACAGGCTCCAGCTGTTCTTCTGCCCCACTGATCTCTGACTCCGAAGGCAGCTGACAATTGACATATGGCCCTGGCCCCCCCTCTGCCTCCGACACAGAGCCCTCATCGGAGCCTTCCCCAGACTCCAGGACTGGCCCAGGTTCCTCCCCAACCTCCTCACTGTCCGAATCTGCTGCCAGTTCCGATAGCAACTGGGCATCTCAAAGGGGCCCTTGGGCATGTGTGCTAGTTGCTCTCTCTCACCTGACCAGCCTGGAGGGCAGCGGCATTTGTACTCGGTCAAGGTGACGAGGTCACAGCTCCCTCCATTGCGACAGGGGCTGCTCAGGCAGGCGTTCTCTTCAATGGTCAGGCACAGCTTGTCAATGTAGCCCAGGCGGCAGGAACAGATGAAGTCGGGCGTGCTGCCCTCAACCACGGGTTGACAGGTGCCGCCGTTGTTACAGGGGGAGCTGAGGCACAAATTCGGGAACTGGCACCGCTGGCCAGTGAAGTCCTTGGAGCATCTACGAAAAGAAGGAGGGGGAAGAAGAGGATGAGCGAGAGAACTGCAGGAGCAAGTAATGGCTGTCCGGCCGTCCTTTAAGCAGCTTTGCAATGGGACGCAAACCTTCTCCCCTCCTGCTGCTGGCGGGCAGAGGATCGGACGGGCAGGGAGATCACGAAAGGGCAGGATTCGAACGAAGGGCAGGATTCGAACGAAGGGCAGCCTCAACCACGCGGCTACAGATACAGTATCTAAGGCTCATTTTGCAGCCCTTATGTGATTTTATTTCCTTTCAATGTGACTCTTAGGAAAGAAATTCTTGAAAAGAATAAAAAGAACGCAAATTTTGGAAAAAGTAAAATAATGTGGGAAAAGTACAAAAAAAGAATAAGAAAAAAGTGATACTGTAAAGAAGCAATTTTCAACCAACTGCAGTTACGTTTATATTTTGCCATCTCTAAGGTTATAACATAATTTAATTTTTTCCATAGTCTACCGTTTCTAATCATCAAACCCACAAAATCACAAGTTTGGGGTTTTTTTCCTTAAAAAGTCCATAAAGAGTTTCCAGGCACAAATACATGCAGTTATTGTCCTTTCCTTAAACAGAGAGGTCGATTGTATCATCTCTGCTAATCCATTGCATCTTCACCAACCGTTCCTCCATGGTGGGAATTTCAGAATCTTTCTATTTTTGTATGTATAAAAATCTCACAGCAGATACCATAAAGAAAAGCCACTTTCCAGAACTCTTTTCTAATTGTCACACAGGAAAAGTTCTCGTTTTAATTGAATATCCATCTTTAAAGTACTTTGGGTCACGGCATGTATTAAAAACCAGAATTTTCTGGCATAGAACAACTAGAAACAACAACAGTTTTTTCCCAAACGCCATCCTTCTGCTAAACAAATAATTCCCTCACCACTGTCAAACTATTGACTAAGTCTGCATTGCTATTACTATTAATCTTCTCATCGTTCCTATCACCCATCTCCTCCTACTTGTGACTGTAACTTTGTTGCTTGCATTTTACATTATTTTCTAGTATGATTTGATTGCTTATTTGTACCCTATGGCTATCTTTAAGTGTTGTACCTTATGATTCGTGACGAATGTATCTTGTATTTTTATGTACCCTGAGAGCATTTGCACCAAAGACAAATTCCTTGTGTGTTCAATCACACTTGACCAACAAATAATTCTATTCTATTCTCCATTCCATCTTTTATTCTATTCTATTCCTATTCTATTCTATTCCTAATCTATTCTATTCCTATTCTATTCTAGTCCATCTTTTTTCCTATTCTATTCCTATTCTATTATTTCTATTTCTATTCTATTCTTATTCTATTCCATATCTCTATTCTAGTCTATTCTCCATTCCATCTTCTACTCTATTTTTATTCTTTCCTATCCCTATTATTCTATAGGATGGTAGAGGACAGGAAGGCAAAGAGGAACGTTGTCCATGGGGTCGAGATGGGTCGGAAATGACTTCGCAACCAACAACAACAACAACAAATTCTATTTTTGGAAATCCACCAAGCATGATAAACCGACTTATTATTTTCCACATTCCCAACTTAAAAGTACCTGTCCACATTCTAGATCATTTTCCTATGAGAATTTTTAAAGAATATTTTTTTAAAATCTGTGGGAACACTGGAAGCATTAACTGGTTCTCTGAAATCCCCATCTATCAAAAAGCCCACTCAAAAAAAGGCTTTTTCTGGCTCTGTTAGATTTTCAAAACTTCTTTTTTTTGGGGGGGGGGGGTTACTACCAATTCCAACTTCAGTATTTCCTCAACTTTGGCCTCTTTAAGATAGGTGGGCATGAGCTCCCTGGGAACTGAAGTCTACTTATCTTAAACTGGTTGTGAAATGCAATTTAAATTCTGAGATTCTGGGGAAGACTCTCGTTAGCCACTTCGATGGGAAACGGTTTGCAAATTTTGGCTTTTTAAAAAAAGGTCTTGTTATTTTTATTCTTATACATACATTCACAAATATACATTCTTATAGATACTATCCATATTATGTGTTGTCTTTTAACATTTATAACAATTCAATTCTTCCCCTGCAAATTTAATAGTATAATCAGGATTTCTTTCCTGCCATCTTGTTTTAAAACCATCCTCTTCTTTACTTTCTTCTCTCCTCCTCTCCTTTCTATTTTCTTCTTCCCTTTCCTCTCCCACATTCCTCCCCTCTCTCCTACTCTTGCTACCCCTCCCTTTCTTCCTCTCCTTTACCCTTTCTTCTTTCCCTCTCCTTTCCTCTCTCCTCCTCCTCTCTCTCTTCCCTCCTTCCGTTGTTGTATTCACACATTCTCCTCTTCAGTCTGGTCTATCTTCAGGATGGCATTCCAGCAAACGGTTTGCAAAGTTTGATCACCTTGGGATGGGAGGTAACTTTTTTCATCCTTTCCAATGGTCACTAATCAAAGCGTTGTTACCTGCAGTTTTCATCATGATACTAGGAGAATTAAGCTAGGTTTAATTCCCATTCGCCTCTACATTTCAAAAGCAAATGGCTCTTTTTGTGTGTGTGCTGAGGGGTCTAAAGTCCATTTGAGTCCCCTACAAGCTTAATTCTCCGCACAAGAGTTTCATCTTTTCCCGAAAACCCAGCAGTTTCATCAAAAGGCCCATCAGCCGGAGCCTTATGGCAGTGGGAGTGGGGGGTTTCTGTTTTCCTTCCTTTTACTTTTTGAGAAAGGGAGCCTTGCAACAGCCATCCACTGGTCATTGGCCATCTGTGGAGCATCGCCAAAAGGAACTGGAGCCAAATGGCTCATCAAAGCAGTCCTCTCCATTTGGCCCTTCCGAAAGGAGATGGACATCTCTAGTGGGGATGGGAACAGGACTAAGCTGAGCTCCATGATGGCTGGACACAGGGGCCCTGGGTGCCCCCTGGGCTTGGTGGTTTTCTTGCAGAGGTTTTATTACCTAGCCAGGTAACATCATCAGAAGGAGGGGGAGGGGGGAGGAGGAGGAGGACAACTGTGAGGTCCCTGGTGCTCCCTGGGCTTGGTGGTTTTCTTGCAGAGGTTTCATTACCCAGCTAGACAATATCCTCAGTGCCACAGAGAGGACCTGCTGGGGGTCTCTGCCATGGTATGAAGGGACCCCAAACTCCTCTGTCTTGATGCTGGCAACCGTGACTTCCTTGCCAGCTACTTCATTCTCTCTGCAACTCCCTCCATCATTTGCTTGGGAAATGAGGGAGGGGAAGGGAGGAGGGGAAGAGAAGAGAGGGGAGGGGAGAGAGGGAGGAAGGAAGGAGGAGAGCACAGGAGGAGGAGAGGAGGGGAAGGGAAGGGAAGAGAGAAGAGTGGAGAGAGGAAGGACGGAAGGAAAGAGAACACAGGAGGGGAGAGAACAGAACTTAGAAGGGACGAGATTTAGAAGAGAACAGAATAGAGGGAGAGGGAATGGAAGACAAGAGGAGAAGAGGATATAGGGAGAGGTAGAGAGGAGAGAAGCACTAGTGTTTTGGCGCCAGCTCTCTCTCTCTCTCCTCTCCTTTGGATTTTTCCTTTTCTTTTTGGTCCAAGGGGGAGGAATAAAAGGGGAAACAAGCTGAGTTTTCAAAAGGGAAAGTTGTGAAGACCACTAGCCCACTTTGTCAGCCGGGGACCTGGATTGTGTGGCCTGACCTTTTCCTGGCTTGAGCAGATGCCACATTTATGCTTCGCGCCCATTTTCCAGAGGCCAAACCACGCAAACTGTGGTTGTGTAGGAGGGACTACAACTCACTGCACCCCAAGGGGTGCCTGCTTCTCAATCACAGCCCCTGTGCTCTTGGGGCACCCAGCAGCCTGCAAAGGCTCCAGCCTGAGCTGAGGGCTGGACTAGAAAACCTCCAAAGTCCCTTCCAACTTTGTAAGAGCTTATTGGTGGATTTCTGATGGAGCTGCTCCTAATTTGCGATTTGTACCATTTCTACCAAAGAAGCCCCACTTTTTCTTCTTCTTCTTCCAGGCCTCTTTTACCGTCCTGTTGAAACCCTCCCGGGAGGGATTGCCAAATGGGGGTGGGGGGCTGGGCCCAGAAGTTTCAAGATCTCCCAGGAAGAGGGCATTTTGTGTGCCAGAGAACTCAGTACTGGCAGAAAGCAAATACTAAATGGAAACTGGCAAGGGGGGAGGGGATGAGGGGGCAAAGCTGTAGTTGGCAGACTGGCACATACACCAAGTTTCACATTTGTCCTTAAATGGGGGGGGGAAGGAGGGAGGAAAGAAAAGAGTGAGTGAGTGAGTGAGTGAGTGAGTGAGTGAGTGAGTGAGTGAGTGAGT